CGACGATGTGTCGTATTGACCCTTGACAACGGGAACGACTATGTGGCGTATTTTCCGTTCCCACCGGCATACGACTATGTGTCGTATCCAGAAAAAAAAATTAGGGCATTGCTCTTCCAAGTATAGTTATGAGTCAAAAATCCGCCATTTGGGCGGGAAGACGAATTGCCTCTTCGGAACCAATATTATAAAGGGAGGTAAAAACAATTTATAGCCAACTGGCTATTTCTAGCTAACACGCCTAGTTTTGAAAACTGCTGTTGCATGGAATTTTTGTCCCATATTTCAACAGCGCTTTCAGATTAAATTAGTGAAATTGTTTTTCTCGGATTTAGAACGCCCCACCGACATTTTTGGCGGGAAAACTAACCACTGTAGCCGATGAAATCTCGTTGGGCGGGAAAATTAAGAGATTACCTAGAAAGTAGCATATAATTTTCCCGTTAAAATTGAGTTATATTCAAAATGCGCTAAAGTATGGTTTCGAACGGTTGATGCTATAATTATTCATTACCAGTGCTATCAATTTAAAGCCACTGTAGGAAAACGTTTGTTTTCCCGCCCTAAGTATGCGTAAATTCTATGCATGTTAGATGTACAAGAAGCAATTTTTACACATTTTAGTCTAATCACAAAATTATTTATAGCCGATGTCACGAATTGAAAGCCATATTTGCTATGTTTAATTTTCCCGCCAAAATCGGCTTCTATAGCCCTTGACGCGCGATAATCGATTTTTGCAAATATATGTACTATTATGCACGTTATAATCAATGTTTGTGCAACTTTCCATGCGATTACAATCATTTTTTAATTCGGCGTGTTGGCTATTTTCGGCTATAAACATTAGTGGTTCGCAAAAATACACACAGGCAAATTACAACTCATAATCCGTGCCCAAATGGTTATTCGCATCAACTTTCATAAAAACGTGTCCAGAATAATTCCGGTGGGAACAGCATTTTTCAATTCATCTCCCAGTAATTAACGTTATGCAGTAGGTGAAACTTTCGGGGTCAAGGGAAGAAAAAATTCGCCGTTACTAGGGGTGAAAGGTATGAAAATATTCGTCTCTCAGGGGTGAAGTGGTTAATAATTCATAGGCTCGGCAACATCAAGGAATACCTACATATTTGCATAACATAATGTCCAAAGATAAAAGGGTAGCCGCTGTAGATAAAATTTTGATACTTAAATAAATTGGTACATAGAGGTAGGAAGTTGTGCACGCTTTGTGCAAATACTAAAATATTTACGTAGTCGACATCCTAAACACGCATTTATTAAAATTTTATCTATTACATTTTTTTTTACAAACCGATATAATCGAGAATATATTTAGAAGATGGGGTAGACGATTATTCGATATTTTTGACGCTTCATGAATAACTTGGCCCAGTATTTTAGCTAGTTGTAATGAAATGAGATGACACCAAGATAGAGGAAGTTTTAGCCAGGGAAATAGTGAACTCAAATCAGACCCAGAAAAGCTCAACAGCAGGAAATTCACGTTCAACCATTGGTCAACTTTTCCTCATTTTACGACATATTTATTGGAACAATTGATTCATGGTCTCATTAAAATACAACTAGTAAAAAGTAATCTGTTTACACTATCAAAAATAATGTCACCCGTTTGAAAAGTAAATGGACTCTAAATTCATTTCGACTACAATGAACCGTCCTGAATTTACCATTCCTTTCTTTGCGACCACTTTCATTTTAAATTTTCCCCTTAGCAATGAATTAACGTTGAATACCATTGTTTCAAAAATATCAGACTTGTACGAAATAAATTTTAGGTTATCACTCCCCCACCCCACATTTCGTAACGTAGACTTTCAACTTATCAAAAAAATCCCCATCACAATATCCTACAGCCTCGAAAAGTCAGTTAACTGGCGAGATGGCGAATATCAAGTGGAGAAGGAAGCTTACCATGGGGCCCCACCAAAAAAATATGGCTCCCAAAAAATCAAGATTTTCCTAACAATGGCACAACATATTTACGACTTATCTCATAAAATTGCACAATCTGGACATGCAGCACGCACCAGTGGCAACATTCTATTTTACAATGTTGCAAATTCAGACGAAATTATCCAGAAACTCGATGACATAACACAACTGGGGTTCACTTGTCCCTTGACATTCGTAACCGTTATGGCAACCTCAAAAAATATGGAACTTTCGTCGCTCCATCAACTCTGTTACCTCTGTCCACCAACTGACCCGTTGGTCGTACTAAGCTTACTTCAAAATCCTACCCAAATTATGGAGATTCACTCAAAATTATCATCGAATGGGTACGGGGCTAAAATGGCTTTGAGGAGCCGACATAGATTGGCTACGGATGACGTGATAAGTAAAAATCTAAAATTGGCAAACTGTCAAAAGTATTTTGATTCTGAACCGTGGTGCCAAAGTCATAATCCACTTTATGAAATTATGATGGAGCGATTAAATGCGTCAATAGCAGGTACAAAAAATCTTTCAATTTTAACCCCTTTTAAACTAACGATGTTTTAATAGTACTTCCATTCGCTATGATATTGATTTAATACATATTTACACATGAGAGCAACCAATTAAGCCTTTCAGTTTATCTTTCTTTTTACTGTGATACGTTTTCCAGATATTAGCGTGTTCTGATCTCAAATGTATTAATAAATGTGCAAATATACAATATTCCCTCAGCTTGGAGTTCTTGTCCGCCATTGGATGACAAAGACGACTACGATTGGGCCCCGCTCTACCTTTGCGAAGCTGGCTTCGTAACCCCACAACCCGAAAATACCTCAGACTACCTTCATTCCAAATTGTTATCTTTCACCCAGGGGAAACTGTGTATAGTTTACTGTATCAATAAGGCCGACTACGACCCGCCTTCTTGGGCCTGGGTCGCATCACCGTTCGACACCCCGACCTGGTTCGGCCTTCTCATCACCATTGCGCTTTTCGCCCTCGTTGGCCGCCGAATCTCCATGATGCTCAATGCCGTCAACTTTTTCATTTATATTGGTCCCTCTAATTTTAAAAATTGGAAGAATCCCGCCCTATTCTTCTCTCTAGCCTTAATCTCTTTTCTAAGTTATCACTACGAAGCTTTCATGACGACGAATATAACAGCTCCGTTAGGGCTTCACGTCCTTCTCGATATAAAAGAATGGCTCGACAACGGATTTCGACTAATTGTACCTAGTATGCATATCCTAAACGTATTAAGGTTTGCAATGGGGGAAGAAATTAGGCAACAATTAGGACGAAATATTTCCGCCCGAGATTTAATCGTAGACGCTGAAATGGGGCAAGGCCCGGAGCAATTTAATCTGACTTGGCGCCATAAAATGGCCTCCATTAAGGGTGTATTCTACATTTATGAAGTATTGGCGTATAAGTTGAAGACAGAAAAGATCGTGAGTCGGGATGGCAACGTTGTCTGTTTCGTAATTAATAATTGTCTTGGTCCATTTACTGTCTTGATGAATTCCTACTCAAGTATGACGGGTTCCTGGTTTTTGCAAAATGTTTTGTTATGGAACGGCCCGGCTGGCATTGATAGAATGTTTCAAGACAGATACTTTACCAAAATTGCGAGAAAACTGGCAACGAATAATGTAAAAACTCAAGCTTTAACAAATGGTGACGAAATAACAGCGGAACTTAGATTGAGATTGTATTCAAATTTTGGAGTTTTATTTTTGTACGTAGGGTTTTTATTGGGTGTGAGTTTGGCTGTATTTGGGATTGAATTTAGATGTAACGTTGTTTTGAGCAAATTTTCTAGAATTTTCCAAGAGCGATATCGGCTAATTTTGTTGGGCCTCAAATCTGCTGTTAATTTGGTCAGTGGAAAAATTTCGAAAATTAAGAAAAGAATTTTTGATTTATTTATCATTATTTTCCTAAATGTACTGGCTTTATTTAGAATTATTAACATGTGTGGAAGAAAATAATTTCTCCAATTATGGCTCTTAAGACTAGAAAGATTCTTGTATGCCTTCTCACGGGACAGGTGGTAAGGAATTTGGTTGTCCCGCCCCGAGGATAAATTATCTATTTAAGTACCTCTCATAAATTTTGTGACATGAGAGCGGGGAATGCGATGACGCCAGCGGTCTCGCTCCGATTTTGACGAAACCACGATAATTATGTAGATAAATAATTAAACACGTGTTTCAGGATGTTTCATAATTAATTACCTATTAATTTAGTTAATTAATAATTTAGTACCGTTCTTATGAACATGGATGTATGTGTATGATATGAATGTCGTACATATTTACATAATGCGTAATAAACTTCTTACAGTACATACATATTTTCTAACATATCATGAGAAATAAATATTAAATTTAGGTATATATAGATTTATATATGTACATCTGTATATATTTCTAAGGCAAAGTTATATTATGAATTTAATTATAATTTACCAAGTTAGGTCAGAAGGTCGCAGGTAAAAAAAAGTTAAGTTTAAAATTTACATTATAGATAGAACAAAATTAAACAGTAACAAAACAATACTGAAAAACCGAATCTGTACACACATATGTAATGTTAAACAAGGCATTATTACATGATCATTTATGTAAACTAAATACACAAATGTATATGTAAATACATTCGTATGTACACAGATCCAACTATATTTATGTAGGTAGACATTTTTTCCTCAATATGTATGTAATTTTGGTCATCAAATTCAGCATGGGCCTCCAGCAAAAGCGAGTCCGCACACAAATAAATATGTATGATACTCGATATGTATGTAAACATGTATTCGGCTCAAGTCAAAGGTGTAAATTCAATAAATAAGTTGTCCTACCCTAACCCTGGCTTTCGTCTTTTTGCAGCCGCATGTATACGAACTTGTTGATTGAGAATTTACATACTTCTTAATTCCTTCTTTGTTCCCAGGACGAAAAGTGGGTAGCATCTGGCACTCGTGTTCATTACCATGACGACAAAATCGTCAGTCATCATATGCCAAGAGACAAACGAGTTCCGTTCTTTGTCCGTTTTATTTTGCATTGCTACGTCGCCCTCTCCCTGGGAAGGTTGGGAGAGGGCTAAATCTGCAAAATTTTAGGCAATACATAAAGTGATAGATATTCATAAACCGAAAATTCTCAACGTCTAACTACTTTTATCAGGACAAACTTGTGTTGCTTCAATTAGTAACCGATCTGGGAATCTCTTCAAAAACATGTAAGTAAATATATTTTTTATGAAATTGATAACTCCTGATATTGAAAATAATATATATTCAAAATTATAAAGAAATATGTCCTGCAGTCAGTAATTTTTTTGCACACATGCAAAAAAAATAGCAAACTTAAATGTACTTAATTTTGCCAATTATAATATTTGCTGTTTTTGTTGAATGATTTTACATAGGTGGAGGGCAGACATGTATGTATTTATTTGCAACTTTTCACTTGATGACGACAGATGGTCAAACTTCGTTGGAGTGATACCTACATAAATTTATGCGTAAGTTAAAAAAATACAATTCGCCGTTGAAGCTACAAAACATGATTTTTTTGGCATTTCCTCCTTCCCACGGTAACATCAATGTTGGAGGCCGAATAATCGCAACGGCGAACAGATCATGCATTGCATATTTAACAGTTTTTTGTCATATATTTCTGGATTTTCAGAAATTTCATAATATTTTTTTTTAATATTGTTAAATATGTATACAGTGCATACGGACATCTTTCTATTTTTTTAAGCATATGCTCATAGATATCTCCACTTTTGGTACAAAAATATGCAAATCTTTTCGATAATTTTTAAATTCATTAAGATATTTGATGAATATTTCAACTATCTAAGACGATTTTTTAATCTCTAAGAAATTCTACCACCTAAAACCCAGAGAATTAATTCATGTAGAGGTATAAAATTATTTTTTTACATTTTGACATTTTTGCAACTATTGAATATATAATTCCACAATTTTTCCTGAAATCTCACACGTCCGGCCTCGGCATATCCATACATATTCAATTGAATGAAAAATGTTCACATTTTCTTAGAATTGATATTGGTACAACTAATATGTTGTTTTATTAAGTGATTGGATCTAACGACTTGCACTGGAGAATATGCACATAATTTAAATCTCAACTCTGGGATATGAACTACATACAAAATGGGAATCATTTAATTTCACCGAGGTAAGTGGATCATTACTTTTAAGCTGACTCTCTTAAATTCTTTAACACACTCTTAATAAAAATGAGTAAAATTTACTCATGGTAGAGTAAAAAAAAGAGGATGACATAAAACTTTTCCAACGTTGTGCAAAACTTGTTAAATGGCTGGGTAAATTTTGAATAATGTTGATTAAGTGATAATTCTGTTATGAACCGTAATGGATGGATGGGGGCGTGGGAGTTTAGACAACGACACTTGACACAAAATTTTATTTTCATAATCCATGTGCTCTGAAACGATTTAGATATTTTTGATCAATTGATTTCTAGCGTACTTTATTTATTCCGGGGATAGTAGGGGATAAAAAAATCTCGTTTTAGCGTCACGTCGTTTAATATCGTTCCCAAACAAAGTTCTTAAAAGTACTTTACATACGTAAGGCGCCGTCCATAAATTACGTAAATTACGTAGGCTCCAATGATATCGTGCCTATGTTACGCATGTTAAAGAGGTGGAGGGGGTCTAGAAAATCGCGATTTTTGCGTTACGTAATTTATGGACGGCCCCTAATACGTATGTATGGCTAAATTATTAAATCTAATAATTCTGAATATTTCCACTCATTAACTGCTAGGTACATACCATTCGGAAAATATGGTCTGTTTAAAACCACAATTTTTTAAAAATTTCAGTTGTGAAACTACAATCTACTTCATAACCATCAGCAGCAGCAGGGCCTGACACAATTTGTACCTCAACCATTTTCCCTGAAAATGTACGCGATATGGACCAGATTTAGGGGCAACACAATCACCTCAGTAAATATTTCGTCTCCACAAAATTCCGCCATCATTCAAGTATCGAGTAAACATTAAATTTCTCTAAGCTAATTAAGGTTCAAAATTAGTAATACGGAAATTTTTAGACTCATCATAGGATAAGTCGGTACATACATATATGTACCGACTTATCCTACTATCTTAGTATACTATCTTATTATATGGTATACTATCTAATTTCCACAAATCGTACCTTTTTTGGGGACGTTTTCGGTCAAAAACGTTGAATTATTTTAACTTGTAATAAGCAGGCACAGTACAACTTTTAATTAAGATTAATTCATATTTTATCAAAAATGACATTAGATAATGAGAAATGTAGGTAGGTAGGTACATAATATCTGGGTTATGAAATATTTGTCCCAGGTAAATTACATTTTAGTACGCTCTAAGGAATCCCACATATAGCGTTTTTCGCTAGCCATTCGAGTGCCATGTATTGTGGAATGTTAATTCACCGCACTACAAATGATGACCAACTGTTCAAACATAGAATTTCAGTCATAATGAGGGTATTCACTACGAGTTCGCATGTCGGCATCGGGACATAACTTTTTCTAAATTCCTAATTTAGGGAAACCAAAAAGTGAAGACACTTCGGCGAAATGACGGTTCCGCAGTGTTTCGTTTCTTGCGGGTTTTTCTCATCTTTTGCACTGCACAGCAAGAAATGCAAGAAAGTGCAAGAAACACAGCGCCATCTAGCGACGCGCCTAAAGAACTATGGCGGCGGGAAGCAGTTTCTTGCACTTTGCATTTCTTGCGGGTAAAAATAGCTGCAAGAAATCAATTTCTTGCGGTTATTTCTTGTAGGTGGTTAGTGCACCCAAAACACTAACGGTTCGTAAAATTCCGTGTACGGCATTCCAAAAATTTCAAACGGAAAATCTTTGATAACTAAGATACTAGAGATTTATGAACTTTTCCAATTGCAAAATTTTCACATTTGTGAAAATTATTTTGTTAATTAAAGGCTAGCCCAGGTCCTGTGCCTCACAATTCAATTTATAAGCCACAATTTTTTTGCAAATATTACCAACCATGCATACTCGATTTGAACACCCCCAATATATCTTGAATGTCAGAACTTTAAAAAATCGCTTACATTAATCGTAACTACGTTATGCATTTAAGATGCAGCATTATAAATACTATATCACAGCGAACAATCATATTTACCTCCGTGAGGTAGGCGATAATTTTGTCGCAAAATCCAAACATATAACTTGGTGTCCCAACAAAGTTGGACCTTTTCGGCACCATGCCTTGTACCTGACTATAGTATTTCTTGATTGGTCCACTACCCTTGTCCGTTTTCAGCATCGGAGCGGTCACATCCGTCTGCAAAAGCTCTCGCGAATGTCCAAAGCAACATTCTGGTGTCCAGATCGAAACTGGAATTCCGAAAATCCAAAGTTGAGGTTGGATATCAACTTCGAAACTTGCAATCTTGGCAGGTCCCAATCTTTTCGTTAGTCCTTCTGATTCATAGATTTTATAGTCACACGTGGAATCCCTTTGACACTAAGGTACGTTACGTCATCTAGGCAGACGATACTGGCGCAAGGTCCTCCTCGCAGATAGCTACGAAGGGCTGAAATTATCACATTGATCATAAGTTTTTCCCCGTGGGAGACATCTATGTACCAAAGTGGTATCCTATCCAATATTTTATTCTCACAATTCCATTCGGACTATCCTGAACGTGGCGACCACATTCAAATTGTGTACATATTTTCATAATTACGATGCTGGCTGAGAGTTAGCCTTCCATTTTTAATGTAGATATAGTGCTCCCTTGTCCGGAATTTTGCAACGCCGTGTCTCCCTTCACAGACTGAGTACTTGCTATTGTCGAGTCTGGGAACAAGTTTATCTCGTCCGACGCTGGGTATTTCGTTTACCAGTTGTGTCAGTCGTTTTGTGGTAGGGTCCACCCAAATACTTTCATTATTTCGTTCAGAGCAGATATCCAGAGGATATGTTTCTTTGGATAACTATGATAACCTATCCCTTTATAATGCAATCAGAATTCTACTTTCTCATTTGCAAATTCTACCTTGTATTCGTTCATTTTTTCAAGCACAAAGTTTAACGTGCTGGTCCGCTCGTTTTTGATTAATTACGATAACCGAAAAATTTCTTCATTTTCGGTATTTATTTGCTATTGTAGTGTAAGCCTCTGCTCGTCTTTGGCAACTTTTAATGTTGCGAGTTGCTCCTCAACAATGTGCAGCTTTGCCTCCATGAAATGCACGGAGCTTTCACTATCTTTTAAATTGCGTTGCATTTTTTCTAACTGGTCTTGCTGCTAGTTCAGTTTATTCCGAAGACAGCTTCCAAATTCTCTCTCTGCAATTAGCATGTCATTAACATTCCTAATTATCTCGTCATTGTTCGCAGAGGATTCTTTTGGATGCTGTGACGTTTGCTTCGAGATCCTATTTTCGTCTTCCAATGTTGCAACTTGTAATTTCAACGCCTCAATTTTTTCACTCGAGAATTCTATTTTATACTCGTTCATCTTCCCAATATTGGTGAACGAATTAGGATTTTCCAGAATAAATTGGAGATCTTGGTCTCCAATTGTTTTACCTGGTTCAACTGGAACCAAGTTTATTATATCTCTTGTGGGAGATATGTTCGAAAAACTATCCCCATTAAGCACTACCTCGGCTGGTTGAGGACCACCCTCGGTCTCCATTTCGATGATTTCGTCCATGGTTTCCCCCTCCGGGGAGAATGGGGTCGATCGGAAAAACAGGCGTCTCCTGACGTCAGTTGATGTCTTTCATTTTAATTGCAGGAGCTTTCGGCGTTACAGGAGAATTACAAGGAGTATTTGGAGATTGTTCCATTCTAATTGGCGAAAAGCTTGTTTAAAGTTCTAAACTCTTGTGAATTGCGAATGATAAGAATACCGTTCATGCAGCTCTTTATATGCAAAATAATAATGCACCAACGCTTGATACTTTTTTGCAACAAAGAGCTTTGCATTTATTTAACCATAACTATTTACTTATTTTTGTTAACAATGTTTAGCATACCGTATCATAATCGGGGGGTTCATTGCAGAATTCATACGCCTTATTCTTTTAAACTAATGCCTGGATCTGCTTAACTCGCACATCCGTTGTATAAAAAGCATTAAGAGCAACATAATAATAATCACGAACATGGTAAAAGTTCTAGGGGAATCACTGTATATGATCAAACTTAATGTAGAGTTTGGCTTAATTATTAGTTGTGGGAATTTCGTGAGTTGGTTAGGTTAGGTTAGGTTATCGATCTTGATCCTCATGCCGCATTCAAGTTCGTCGGGTTGATAAATTCGCTTCGCAGGTTGTCCAATCTCCAAATCAGAGCACTCGTCCAAATTGCAGTAACCACCAACGATCCAGCTTAGGTTTGATCTTCGAGGGTTACGCATGCATGAATATCGAGGTTGACCCGCTGCATAATACATATGCTTGCAGAAACCGGATTCGCCGTCGGATGTACATTATATGCAATCATTAGAAAGGGATGTAGAGTTTTCTCCCTTTTCATTATTTCGTTCAGAGCTGATATCCAGAGGATATGTTTCTTTGGACAACTATGATAGCATATCCTTTTATAATGCAATCAGAATTCTATGTACTTTCTCATTTGCAAATTCTACCTTGTATTCGTTCATTTTTTCAAGCACAAAGTTTAACGTGCTGGTCCGCTCGATTTTGATTAATTACGATAACCGAAAAATTTCTTCATTTTCGGTATTTATTTGCTGTTGTAGTGTAAGCCTCTACTCGTCTTTGGCAGCTTTTAATGTTGCGAGTTGCTCCTCAACAATGTGCAGCTTTGCCTCCATGAAATGCACGGAGCTTTCACTATCTTTTAAATTGCGTTGCATTTTTTCTAACTGGTCTTGCTGCTCGTTCAGTTTATTCCGAAGACAGCTGCCCAATTCTCCCTCTGCAATTAGCATGTCATCAACATTCTTAATTATCTCGTCGTTGTTCTCAGAGGATTCTTTTTCATGCTGTGACGTTTGCTTCAAGATCCTATTTTCGTTTTCCAATGTTGCAACTTGTAATTTCAACGCCTCAATTTTTTAACTCGAGAATTCTATTTTATACTCGTTCATCTTCTCAATATTGGTGAACGAATTAGGATTTTCCAGAATAAATTGGAGATCTTGGTCTCCAATTGTTTTACCTGGTTCAACTGGAACCAAGCTTATTATATCTCTTATGGGAGATATGTTCGAAAAACTACCCCCAGTCAGCACTTAACCTGCGGGTTGTGGAGGGTCGTCCGTTTCCATCTCTTCTAAAATGTCTTCCATCATTTCCCCCTCTGGCGAGAATGGGGTCGACTTAAAAAAATTGGCAACGGCTTTTGCTTTCAGTCATGCTACTTTGAGGGTTGATGGGGAATTGAAGGGGGTAGATGAGTTATCCATATCCAATTACATATTTTACTGAGTTGAAACTTTCAGATTTTGCGAATAATATATATAATATATGTACAATGTCATTTAACACGCAAAATAATAATTCATCTAATGTTAAGTACCCACAATTGCTGTGTATCTATGTATTTGTTATTTATTTTGTACATATATTTAAAATGTGACTGTGGAAAACGTTAACCAATTTTATTCAGACGTCAAGTGATATACATGTAGCTTGCCATAAAAAATGTTATGTGAGACATAAAGGTAATAATATCTTGCATACCATATGTACCCCCTTGTTAATCTTGCTCTTCATCTTTCAAACAACATTTAAGTTTTTTATAAAAAAAATTTCTTTATTTCGCACTTGATGATGCAAATTGTATTCTCAGATACGAGTGTAATATATAAATATGAGTGTAATTCCAAAATGATGACAATGATTGTAGTATTGTAACATGCTAACGGTAATTTAGGTTATGTTACACTCGATGCACTTATTTTCTACTATAATTAGTCAGGGTAATTAATAATTTAGCGTAGTTAATATCGATGTTAACATATGTGTATCGTACATATTTATTTATTTGTTTGAAGAGTAAAAATGTACATTTCATTAATCAATACATTTTATGAGCTTGACAAGAAATTATCGTTCTTTTTGCGTCCACATCATTTACCGAAGACAATTTTCAGAATACGATGATGCATATAATTGTTCCAACAAAAATTAAGATCAAAATATATGGAATCGTGTGTGTGACATATATATACTAAATTTTCTAACATTCCGTGTATAGTAAATAGAGATTACATAAATATAAACATACAAATGAACATCAGGCAAACGATGTAGGGACCGTCCATAAATTATGTCACGCAAGAAGAGGAGCGGGTGTCCAAGGCTTCAATGATATCGTGCTTATGTGAAACATGTTGAACGTGGGGGGATGGTTGTAGGGTCTCAAAATTAGAGATTTCTGCGTGCCGTAATTTATGGATGTCCCCATACACCCTTGCACATGATTAATCAAGTTATACACATCAATTTACGTGTATTTCTGCTGAGAAATTTAGGCTGCCTCTATAATATCCCCAAATAAATTATTTAACGTGTTATTAAACGTGGCAAGTTATTAAACGTGCAAAATATGTTTTTCATGCACTTAATCAAATCCAGCATAAAAAGAGGAGAAAACGCACCCCCAGGGCTGGCAAATTTTTCATTTTCCAAATTTGCTGCCAATTTTTCCCGCTTTAGATGCAAATATCTCCGCCAAACCGGCGCATTGGCAGATAGTTCCATTTGCAAATTTAATACTAATTATATTTGTGATTGATTAACGCTAGTCTGGTCCAAATCTGTGAGCATACGTTGGGAGACCTCCATTGTTAGTTGACAAATTCCCCACTTTCCAAATTTACTGGGCGTTTTCGCCTCCTCGGATGCAAGTGCCTCTGCCAATTCGATTCGGTTTGTTCAATACCAATGGTGCGCCTAACATATTCATATAATTGTCAAGGGGATTTTTCTATTTTTTCCCCATGAAGTGCAACTGTCTTGCAATGTGGGGCATTGTGAGGCAGTTCGCGCTATATGAGAAACATATAGTATGTTGTTCCTAATTCTTATGGAGAATGTCGGGCGCTCGTATGGCGAAACGTTTTGACCTACAGGTTTCAACTAAGCGGCGTTGGATACATCTCACCGAGCTTTAAAATGACATTTCTCAGAATTACAGTATCTCGAACCATACCAAAGATATCAACGTTAATACGTTTTTTCGCGCCAAAAATCTTAAAAGCTACCCCAAATGGGTTGGGTGCATGATAGAGACATACATGCAATTACAAATATGTCCAGAAGTACTTCAGCTACAACGTTAGTTTGAAACTTTTTTTTGATTAAGGCTTCAGTTTGGAGCAAAGTTCGAATTTGTGTGATTTTTCGTGATTAAAAGTGTCAATTTGTTCGCGGACCTACAGCCAAAGCGTTACGTTTTAGAGACTTGGACCTTAAGAAAATTATGTAGGAGAGGGTCCAACTTATGACCCTCAGAGGACATACTTTTTTGAATTCGGTCATGGTTTCTGAGTTATGGCGCGATTTTTTAAACGGTTTGAAATTTTAATTTTTCATAAGGTTACGTGTACTACCTTAGAAATATTTAACTTTAATTTAATTTTTGGCATACACAAGGCTGGCATAAATCAGATAAGATGAAAAGAATTAAATAAGCTATGCGGTAAAACCGCTGAAAACTCTATTTTTTCAATAATATATTATGGGCAAATTAGAAAGAGAGAAAAAGTACAAAACAAGATGCAGTACCCATTATTTGAAACTAATATTTCGGGGAGAAAATAGGAGCATATCAGAGGGCCGGAATTTGCCAAATTCGCATTCGCCATCTGTACCAGTCGTCGGGCAAAGTGACCTCTCATTTGCTCCTATTTTCTCCCCGAAATATTAGTTTCAAATAATGGGTACTGCATCTTGTTTTGTACTTTTTCTCTCTTTCTAATTTGCCCATAATATATTATTGAAAAAATAGAGTTTTCAGCGGTTTTACCGCATAGCTTATTAATTAGCATCAATTCATGCAAAAAACTCGTTAACATACAGACGGACAGACAGACGGACGGACAAGAGGAATTCAATAGCTCCCGTGCTACGCAGGGTGAGCTAATAAAGTATGAATTACTTGCTCAGATTTATGCGCTTAAGCAGTTTTAAGCTCTGCATGTGCATACCGACGGCACATTTTGCTAACGGCGAGTGAGACACAATTCCAACCTGGATCCCAGGAATGCTGCTCATCAAAGGCCCTCCATAATCCTCCTTTCGATAATTCAGATTATGTCAGCCTAAATTTACACAATGCCACAAACAAGTAACAAAAATTACCTCACAAGCTCCATATCCAGGTGATGATTGCGTACAAATTTGATCACTTGTGATTATATCACCTGGTTCAAGATTAGAAACTTCGGCGGCACATTCCCTGTTGGTTATGGTTACAGTGTTTAGTTTCTGTAGGTATGTCCACCCTTGAAAATTTACAATTATTCCCACAGATGTTGATGCTCTCGACTTTGTGGGGTACGAAATGTTAAAAGCTTAACCCCATCCTAAAACTGTAGTATCCACTCCGTCACCAGTATATGCCAGGGCTAACACAACAGTCCCAATTCTTGGGTTTAATAGTACTGGAAATGGCGACGCGAGCTGTAGAATAAAGCAGAAAATTCATTTCAATGCACATTCGTACGGAAGATTCGTATAAAATTATTTATGTTTTTTTAACAAAAAGCATTTAGCAAAAAGGGAGTCATCATTCACTTAGGATACTACCTATTTATTTTATTAGGTTAAGACGCGATGTGATGCTTCATTTTATACTTGATCATATGACATTCCTGTGCCTAATCGTTTGTCATTGCTCGATGGACTTTAACACAGTGCACCTCAGTTTTAAATTCCTATATAAGTTTGTATCAGTAAAAAAAAACTTAATTAGTGCAATGTCGTTGACCCTGGTGACATTATTCCATCCGTTGTGAATAACAAATTCCGAAGATAGTCTCGAAACGCCGCCAGAGCCGAGTTCATTTGACCCGGCAAATACTGCCAAGTAATTTGCCGTTTTCCCTTCTACACATCGTCTAAGAATGAAACAAATAATTGACAGTGCTTAATTCCTCAACATGGAGTATTGGTTTATCCTGTTTTACGCAGCAGTTAGAACAGTCCAAGCAGAAATTAGGGTCCCACTACAGAAATGGCTGCCGGCATAATGTAAGGAAACCATGAAAGGGAACTCCCCTTCCGCAGCTGGAGTCCTACCATGAAGGAACGGGTTAATATCATTCAACGGTTGCACGGCCAACGGTTACGTGCCAAGCGCTAGAAGTAAATACAATTACAAAATCTATCAACTCAAAATTTGTCAAGAATTGCGAAGTAAAAATCTCAGTGGGACGGAGAAATACAAACTTGGGTCTCTTTGGTCATGCATTAAGCATACAGAGCGAAAAATCTTCCGTCTCATAGAGATTTTTTATTTTGCAATATTCCCCCTAAGATTAAATCGTTGCGAACTTAATAATAATTCAAACCTCCAGGCAATCTAAATAATTAGTAATTTACTACTCATTTGATAATCTAAACTCTATCATCTGTTTAATCTATATATGTTGATTATTGTCAAGCATAATTATCCTTGTTATTTACCTATTGTCGATTAATCAAGAAATCTAGGAAACTTACCATTGCCGTGGGTGAGTTGAATGACGAGTCCTGAAATGCAAACTATGAATAACATATTCATTTTCGGTGTAGACGGTAAGGCAACAAGAATAAGAATATTATACGGGACACTTAATTCCCTGCTTTTATACTTGTCCAAAATTTAAGTTGAGCTACACGCTCATCTGTAAAAACTACTTTGTTATGCGCTTTAATCTGAATTAGATAATCCTGACGTATTAATTTGTGATAACGCTAATTGTTGTGGGATTAGGGTTTTTAGAAGTTTCAACCACTAATCCTACCTATTTAACTGAACTCAGATTATGTATTGAATACCACTCCAATTGAATTGAAATCGACTTTGACAACACACATAACCTATCCTAACCTCCCCTGTGTACATATAATCTTGTGTAATAAATGGCTTACCAGCTCCCACTACAAACATAAATGTGTTAATGCGATTTGAATCTGCAAAATAAATTATTGAGCTTTAGCGTTATAAGTATACTCTACATAAGTGCGAATTTGGCAATAATACATTAAACCAAATCCCGGGATTTGCTAACTTACGCTATAAATGGCTAATTGCTTCAAATGACGTTATGTATGTTATTGAAGCTTTATTATTCGAGGTGTGGGTTTCATAATCTGGTAGCAAAATATAATCCCAATTAAAATCTAATCCTGTACGCATTAGCTAGTGAAACCTAACTTTAAAGTTGACTGATCCTAAAGATAGGTACGTAATTAAACTTTCGTATCGTAATACCTAGTAGGGACAATTGTAATGACCAACGGCTTCCGCGCGCCAAAAAAAATTAGTAGGAGCTATGTTAGACAGTTGTAGTATTTTTTATTGAAATGTCCATGCAATTGTCTATCAGAAACCATGTTCCGAAATTTTTTGTGACCCGAGGTGCTAAAATGGCAGATGAGACAAATCGACGTGTTGCAATTTTTCAGAAACATTTTGGTAAACATAAAAATCCGGCATTTTCCAATAGCTCATTAAAAATCGGAACTAATCGCAAGATGGTCGACCGTACCATAAAATGGTCCACTAACATTGGCGGTGTTGATAATCGAAAACCGAGTTGAAGGGAACGGTCAAAAAGGTCACAAAAAATCACGAAGGCGCGCAAAACCTGAATTCGTCTGAATTCATGCCGGATCCTAAGAAAAATTTCCCCACAAATGAACGGTCCAAGTAAAACTACGTCTCTTGCCCTTAAACTCGACCTTGGACTTATGTCTTTAAGATGTGAAAAGAAACACTTGACGCCAAGTAAAAATAGTACCCTTGAAAGCCGGGCACTGCTCATGCGGTACGCTCTTGAAAAATGGAAATAAGTATTTTTCAAAGATAAGTAAACCTTCACAATAAAGGTCATATAAAATTAGCAAAAGCACTTTGTCCATACCCCACCAGTCCATATTATTCATAAAATTTTTTAAAATATTAGTCGGACCCACCGTCTGTGATTTTTCTAGATTCTGTGATTTTTTTATTCGGCGTAGATTGGATTTGGTCAAAAAAGTGAATTTTCTTCCTATGGGGGTGAAATTTCTTGTCAAAAAGTATTTTTTGAAGTTATCGAGCGAATGGAAGAACCACTGGACCACACTCTATTAAAACATAGCTGCTAGATATTCGAGCAGGGCTCAGGACCTTCTGATAAGGCCAAAATAGTAAAAATGGGGTAGAACTAGGGTTGCCGCGGGTAGCGAAAATGCTACCCGTTACCCGACCCGCTACCCGCAGTACAATTACCCGTACCCGCACGGGTACCCGTGCGGGTACCCGTTACCCGCTACCCGTTATGAGAATTAAGTTAAGAACTAACCAACCTTCAGAATTAACTTGATTTAGCAATTATTTGCCCATTTGGGTTGTTCAGTAGTTTGAGATACTGCTGTGCAAGTTACGAATGCCATATTTTGCTAGATCTCGTTAGAAGTTTCTGAAACCAGACTTTTAGGCAGACAATGGAACCTTTTTCAAGCTACACCGGAATTTCTTACCGATTTATGTTAAAACAATCAAGCCAAAAATTAGGAATTATCACTTATCTTTCTGCTGAATAGCCCATTTAACGATAAATATGTATTGGGGACAGAGTTCAAAGTCCATCATAGTTTTCGTCCCGTGGAAAAAAAGATGCAGAGCATTTACTTAAAAATTCAACTTTGCGCCAATATTATTCTTCAAAGTGGAGATTCAATGGAAAATATCATGCGATTCCTAATTTTTGGCTTGACTTTTTGATATAAATACTACATGGAAAGTAGTGTACTTGAAAAAGGTTAAGTTTGACTTTTTAAATTTTGATTGAAAAAAAAAATTATCTACAAATAAAATATTTGATTTCAATCGGATTTAGGTTTTTCACCTTCAAAGCACAAATTGAAATCTCATGAGTCTTACGTTAATACACACAAATTCAAGTCAAATTATTACTGATATTTGAGAACAGGCAAATTATACTTTGGTTACAATAATTTCTCCGCATTTTTGGGACGAGAAAACCATTTGAGGCTGCCGTAGGCTTCTGACCTCCGAAAAGACACTCGGTGAAAACGCCAGTAGCTGGCAAGTGGCAAATTTTGAAATGGATGAATAATAAATTGACGCTATTGCTGGTAAATAGACTAACTTGCTGCCAAGTTTCCTTGTGAATTGATTTATGTCCAAAATTAAATAAAAACTGAACTACCCGTTACCCGTGCGGGTAGTTTTCGCTACCCGCTGAAAACGGGTACCCGCAAGAATCGAGCGGGTATGCGGGTAACGGGTACCCGACCCGTTACCCTCGGCAACCCTAGGTAGAACTCCAAAATTTCTGACTACATTTCGGATCAAGAACAAAATTCACTGTCGCCGAACCTCAACCTTCTGGAATATGACATGTGGTCCAAACTGAAGCTAGATACATGTGCTAAACCCCACACAAGTCTGAAATCCGAGAAAAAATCTATCGCTTAGAAATGAAACCAATATGCCTTGGAATGAGTGCGTACCGCGAGTGAGATGTGGATACAAAGACTTCGGGCTCTTGTAGACATATGAGCATATATCCCAAACAAGTGTGTTTTGCACACAAGCGTATTTCTAAAATGTGTTTATATATTTTGGGGCAGAAAATTTTGGAAATAATTTCACCTCATTCAAATTAAACATCTTTGCGGCCCGATATACCAAAGACATACGAGTAAAACGTGTACATGTGGATACATTAAAAAAATCGAACCCACTCGCCGTGCATCTGTCGTTGGTCAGTACCAGTACATATCTGGGCAACGTTGAAGTTCAGGAAGTACATACACACACAGGAATACATGTGGACACTTGGAGCAAGGCGGATTTGAGATAATAATCAACGGGGTGAAATTTATGAGTATGTCCAACTCACCTCAATCCCACAAAAGATGAATAAAGGACCATCCTTCCGTCTCTGTGCATTTCATGTGTACACACATATTTATTTCAGATAATGGTACTTGAATAAAATATAAAAGATGAGAAGCATCTGTCTGTCTACATACCCTTATTTGTTGCCATGGCAGCGAAATGATTTTCATCAGCATCACAGATCCGTCCCTTTGTCCTGCATTGTAGCTTCACCCTCTCCCTGGGAAGGGAGGTTTATTGAGAGAGGGTTAAAACTAATGGTTTATTTGAAACCATTTTCCACTTCTTAAGTTGAATTTTTAAGTTGTGCTTCACATTTTGAAAATTCGAAATATCTAAACTACTTTTTATCGGGGCAGATAAGTGTCATTTAAATTAGAGGCAGATCTGGAATTCTCTTCGGAAACGCGTAAGTATTTATTTCACACAATAAATTGCTCGCGTTTTTAAAAATAATGTGTATGTATTCAAAATTCTGATAGTCTTTTTTGTGAGTAAATATGCTTAGCTTAATTTTACGATTTGCATAATTCCGTATTTGTTGTTTTGATTCACATGTATATTTCGCATAATCAGAAAATTTAGTTATTTTCAACTTTTTCATTTGATGACGACCAAGGGTTAAATTTTCTGGGTGTCTTCGCCTTTTCAATTCACCAAAAGGACTAATTCATCACAAATTTCGAAATACTGAGTTTTACATATCGTACATAGTTGAATGTCCTCCATTATATATTTTTTTAAAATCCATCCCTCATTGATATTATTTCCAAAAGTGAGTACGAATGTGTAAATCAATATGTGTGTACACATTTGGTAAATATTTCTACGAGTTGTGAGTTCTAAAAGAAAGTGTACCAAAAAATTAAGAACTGTAATTTTTTTGCTTATTTCCCTCAAATTTCGGAAATATTTTGACGTTTTTGTATCAATATTAAATTATTATTTCGGCGATGCTTCATAAATACTATCAGTAAATTTATACATACATACATATATGTAAAGGAGTAAAAAACAAATTAAGAAACATATTTTTTGAACTTTATAGTTTAGTTTGAACTTTATACCGGTCATAAATAGCTTGATCAGAGGATTTGCATCGGAAAATGCATGCTTACGCAAATAAATCCCCCTTCGCAAAATTCCAGCAGTGGAAAATGTGAATGCTTTAATTTCAGAGGTATGTTCATGAAAGTTGTTTATCACTTTACGATATACAATCTTTATGTTTATTACTCGTATAATGTATCAATTCTAAACTAATCAATTAATCATTAATTGTTCATTACTTAATGATTAATTATCAATTATAAATCACAAGCATGAAATATAATTTCCTTTAGGGGCCTTATTTCCTTCTTTACTACGTATTCCACGTCGTGCCAATGATATGAATATTTATATCTAACTACAATCTGCACAAAATTGTAACTTGTTGTCAGGAATTTATATTAATTGAGCGTTGAGAAAATTCTAGGTTTGAAATTATCTGGGTTATATAATCCTACTCTTAGATAACCAAAACTAGAGGCAAATAATCCTGCATATTTTGTCGCGGGGTTGATCACTACGACATGCTTTTTGTTGATCAACTTTATCCACCATTGTTCTAATCACCTTTTCAATTTAGGGGAAATTAATTTATCGATTTGCTCATTGTCTGCATACGATTACAACTCGATTCTATTTTTTTCTCAATTTTGTAAATCAGTCTGACTAGAATGGATTTAATATGCCAACCTTGCAATTGTAAAGCATAGGATGAAGATACCAAAAAATATTTCAGCCTTCATCTGTACGAAGTTTATCGCTGATAGGAAAACTCATTATAGAAAGCTTTTGCTGCTCCATCGTACACATTTAACAGCAACATCGGAAGAAAAAATCGATAGAAGTTATTGTTAAG